AATATATATATAAATATAAATTCATATCTGCAGAAAAATCAATTTCATGTGAAGGACTGCAAAATAATAACACAAACCATAAAAAATTATGAAGTTAAGAGCTACAAATTGCAAAAATGGCCGAATTTATAGAACAATACAGAAGAAACTGAATGAATAAATTCAGAACATAAGCTGTGATAAGATTCCAAACTCAGCCAAAAGAAGAAAAAATTAAAGCCCTATGACACAAGTATTTTGCTTTGTAATGTCTGTAACAGGTCTCAAAAAGCCTAACGCTGGAGTAGATGATAAAAATTACCTGTCATATCTTTAGGACAGTGTGCCATCAGTCGCACCATCTTTGCCCTGAGATCATCTCGGCTGGCTTCAATTTTTCGTGTGTTACCATAAACACGTTTCTTCACATTCTGCACATCATGGTACACCTTTTTTACTATGTTCATGAAGCGCTGAGTTTTGGTAATGGGTGTTTTACACAGGGGACAATCCTTCAGTTTTATTTCTTCATGTGTTTGAGCCATCCACTGCTCAAGTCCAGATGCCTCCAGTACATGTTTGCAATCTTCCAAGTATATAAATCTGAAATCAAGGACATTTGGAGAAATAGAACTCAACAAAAGCAACAGTATTCACGTGTATAAACATGAAAAGAAAAATTATCTAATTATAGATCTGTAAACTTATAGTACACATTTTAACCTTAACCAAAATTCTTACAAACAGGGCAACAAATTATGAATTTTTACTGTACCAAACACCCATAAAAATATGTATAAAAGTAAGTAAAAAAGTAAAGGTATTCCTGTAACAGGCCTTGGAGGCCCATGGGGTTGTGAGATGTTGAGGTTCCCACGTTTTCTAGACTATCGGCTCATAGAGGCAGTAAGGTCGTCAGCCTTATGCGCTGGCCACCCTTTACCCCCAAGAATATTCCTGGTACTCATTTCTGTTTGAGGCTGAGTCGACCCCAGGGCCATAGTGTGGCTGGAAGGATTAGGTAAATTGAAAAAATCCACCTCATCGGGATTCGATCCTGTGACCTTCCAGCTTGTAGTGGTAGCATAGTTGGTTGAGGCACTATGCTACAAGCCGGAAGGTCGCGGGATTGAATCCTGATGAGGTCATTGGTTTTTCCAATTTGCCCAATCCTTCCAGCCACAATATGGCCCTGGGGTTGACTCAGCCTATAATAGAAATGAGTACCAGGTATTTTCCGGGGGAGTAAATGGGTGGCCTACGTGTAAGGCTGAGAACCTTACCGTCATCTATGAGCCGACTGTAGAAGATGTGGGAGCCTTGACCTCTCACAACACTATAGGCCTTCATGACCTTTTACAGGGATAAAAATATGTATAACAGAGGAAAAATCAAGTGTTTGACTTTGGATAGATTCACCTGTTATGAACTGGACACTACAAAAGCTAGAATGACAGAGCTCAGAACTAGACTGAAAGTCTGACACACTATTGCAAATAGGAGTCACCCTGATATGTTGGGATTTTGGACTTTATCCATCGTCCTGGTTTTTAAGATAACAAATAAAAACACGACGTTTCGGAAACTGGATCTGTTTCCGTCCTCAGGTGAAGGACACTGGACACAGTGATTGAGGCTAGCTCTTTCTAAGGGACCCAACTGAATAGGTGTTTTCCTTCACCTGAGGACGGAAACAGATGCAGTTTCCAAAACGTCGTGTTTTTATTTGTTATCTTAAAAACCAGGACGATGGATAAAGTCCAAAATCCCAACATATCAGTGTGTTATACACCATCGTCAGAATCCTATAGTAACTAGGAGTCACCCTCCTTAACTCTGCCTAAAGAATGAGTAAGAAGGTTAAACCATTAATAACTTAAACCTAAACATAACTTATGCAAATACAAAATATAATATGTTATAAATAGAAGAAATACCTGACCCCAAAATGAAAGACGACAGAGTTATCAAATTCTTTTATAAATTAAGAAAAATGGTACTGTTGCCAAAATATTACGTTTCACTTCCTCCGTAATAATCCTGTGTTACTTTGCAGCTTTCAGCCAATGCACTCAAGTCATGCACCAATACAGTAAACCCTCACTAATCCAGATTAACTGTGGGAAGGTCATCTGGATTAATAAAGCAAAAGATAGCCCTAAATGGGGGGGGGGGGAGAAAAAAACAGAAAACAAATAAATGGAAAATTTTATAATACAGCTAGTCAGAATTACTGGGTTTTTGTACTCTGTCCATCATCCTGTATTCTACAAAGTAGAAAACACATTTTGGAAACTGGTTCTGTTTCCATCCTCAGGTGAGGGGGGGGGGAAGACACCTACTCAGTTGGGTCCCTCAGAAAGAGCTAACCTCAATCAATGGACAATTTGTCAGAGTTCAGAGTTACTTTACGACTAAGTCCTACATTTCACTTGAAGTGTAGGATTGATAAAGGGTTAAGCAAAAAGAGGAAGCACAACAGACCATTGATGGTCACGTTGCAAGGGCCAGATTATTATGACCCACCCCTTATGCATTCATTCATACTTTAAGACTGGCAGTTTACTACCAATGAGTTTGTCTTGGAGAAAAGCCCCTTGAGATTCACAACTAATAATTTTACTTTCCAACTGAACACTTGCGGTTCTAGGCCTGATGTAACATCCTCTCTGACAAGGGGATGTATCTGTCATTCAAATTACTGCTTGCCCTCACTGGCTCAGTCACTCTCAGGTCCAAATACTGTGGAACTCATGACCACATTTTACGGGGTCTACAATTCAAGACTCCCAACAACCTGCAGGGCCAGGTCCCCATATTTATAACACCCAGGTACAGGGTGGCCCTGTTATACTCCCAAGCACTGGGTTCTCTCTTCCTTGCCTCCTGCAACTCGCAGGGCTATGGTGGAGGTATTCGACCCCACCTCCACACGGACTACTTGTATTGCTAAAATTCTGGAAATTGAAAGTAACAGCAAGTATAGTAAATACAAGCAATCAGCCCATATGACACGCTTAACCAACCCAATCAGCCAACACAGGTTCAACATTTCTCCTATGTATCCCCTTTATCAGCAATGAGGTTTCCAACTCAGAGAAGATCTGTGTGATGTGACTGATTCTTGAGTTCCCATAAAAGGTTTTACGAGCAGTCTTGAGTGTTCAGGTTTTTCTCTACAGATGGCGCTAGCAGTAGGCACTACTTGTTTTCACAAAATTTTCCATTTTTTTGTCTGTGTATTGATGCTCATACACTTGGTTTTGTTGACTAGGTTTGTAGCATAAATTTCTACATCCTTTTCTATCCTAGTTCCACGTATGTGCGCACTCTTATCAAAATTCTTACTGCATATATTCCTGTTATCTTCTGCCAAATTAGCCTGGTCTCAAGTGATTAAATACTTGTAGTAAAGCTGACCGGGGTTGTCCGGTGTATTAAGTTAGCTTTTCCTAAGGGACCCAAATGAGTAGGCGTATTCCCCCCTCACATAAGGGTAGAAACAGATCCAGTTTCTGAAAGACTGTGTTTTCTAGTTTCTAGAATACCAGATGATGGATGAAGTCTAAAAAGCAGTAATTCTGAGTGTTACACACCATAGTCAGAACCCTTTAGAATCTAACGCAGGTTGTGCTGATGAAAGTAAATAGAAAAATATCACTGTAGCTCCTTTGTTTAAAAACTATAAAAAGACAAGAAAATGAAATCCAAGGTCTCCTTCAACCAGCTCAAGCCAATCTTGGATACATTCTTGCATGGTTTCAGTCTCTTCAGCTGCCCTCAAACAGTCCAAAAGTCCTCTTGCTCCTAAATTCCAAGAGAATATCAAAGTTATGTACTCAACTGTGAATAGAATTTTTCATTTTTCATTTTTCATATTCTGATCTGGATTATTGATGGTTCACTGTATTGTGAAGCACATCACAGCTCCTCATGTGCGAGAATCCCCANCTCTAATTTTATAATCATGTTTTCTGGAAATATGGTTATATAAAATAATCCTGAAGGGTTTCAGCAATGGTATATAGTGCTGGGTTTATCCATCACCTGGTATTCTGAAGAGAAGACAGTTTTGGAAGCTGAATGTGTTTCCATCCTTAGGTGGAATGGTGTGGAGGCACTTACTCAGTTGGATCCACAAAAAAACTAATATCAGTCACTGAACAAGCCATACAAGTCAGCTAAAGTTGTAGAAATATAGATGACCTAAATCTAGGACAGAAAAGAAAGTAAAAATGAAGCCATGAAACCATGCCGAGAGTGTAACCCAGAGAGAGTGATGTGGAGGAACCTCACATTGACATACTGCCTACTGCTAGTACCAATTGTTAAGTGAAATATGATACATCAGTGAAAATGGGAGATGATGAAAGCAGTCTTCTGGGATTTGGCACCGTGTATATGTGGTGTTAACCGACGTTTCGGAGGAACGTATCGCCTCCATCTTCAGGGTAGAAGAAAAAATATAAGAATTCTGCAAGCGGAGAGACCGTGAGAACCGGTCAGTCTGCTTTTACCGGTTCTCACGGTCTCTCCACTTGCAGAATTCTTATATTTTTTCTTCTACCCTGAAGATGGAGGCGATACGTTCCTCCGAAACGTCGGTTAACACCACATATACACGGTGCCAAATCCCAGAAGACTGCTTTCATCATCTCCCATTTTCACTGATGTATCATATTTCACTTAACAATTGGTACTAGCAGTAGGCAGTATGTCAATGTGAGGTTCCTCCACATCACTCTCTCTGGGTTACACTCTCGGCATGGTTTCATGGCTTCATTTTTACTTTCTTTTCTGTCCTAGATTTAGGTCATCTATATTTCTACAACTTTAGCTGACTTGTATGGCTTGTTCAGTGACTGATATTAGTTTTTTAGTGGATCCAACTGAGTAAGTGCCTCCACACCATTCCACCTAAGGATGGAAACACATTCAGCTTCCAAAACTGTCTTCTCTTCAGAATACCAGGTGATGGATAAACCCAGCACTATATACCATTGCTGAAACCCTTCAGGATTATTTTATATAACCATATTTCCAGAAAACATGATTATAAAATTAGAGACAACTCAATGAAGTTCAGTACCCACGGTTACATCTAATACAATAAATCTTGACGTTAAAAAAGAACTTAAGTCAGCTGCAACAAAGGATTCTTTTCTTGCTAACATTATCAAAGTTTGAAATATACTGGGAAAACAGGAAAAGTTTTGCAGTGTAGCAAATAAAAGCACAGCGTTGAAGAGATGTAGGGAGGGAAGGAAATGAGAAAAAAGAAAACTAAAGCATCACAAAGAGATACAAACATTTATGAAATGAAATATAAAATTTTATCTTCACTTAGTGGAAAGGTTTCATCACTCAGAATTATTGGATTTTTGGACTGTCGATCCTCTAGTATTTTAAAAAGCACCAAATAACACAACGTTTCAGACACTGGATCTGCTTCCATCCTCAGGTGAAGAGGTGGGAGACACCTACTCTGCTGGGTCCATTAGAAAGAGCTAACCTTAATCACATGACAACTTGTGTTAGTATAACGACAGCTATATAAATATGTGAGATTCGACTTTGTCACCAACTGTTACAAGGAAAATGCA